CAGTGTGCTTTACTGTTTTTAATCACTGCCACACACATAATCTCATCTTGTCCTCCCAGTAAACACTGTGGTAGGATTTATCACAGCATTTAAAAAATATTGTCCTGCAAATGGCAATACTCAACCCTGGGCCTTCTGCCTCCTACTTAGTCTAGTTAGAAACTCTCAATCATTTTTCAGATATAGATATTGAAATTAGCTTGAATTTAACAACAACTATGCACTCCTTTTTTTAAAATGATAAATTGGAATACTTCTGAAATATTCAGTTTATTTTTGTGATACAACTTTGGGAAAAACCTCATAATTATTCAAGCTCATTAATTCAGTTGAGTCTTCTAATTATAGGCATAAGAATTCAAGCTAAAGGCACATATTTTTCTTAAAAAACTAAATATTATGATAAAATAAAATTAACAAAAGTACTTTTATACTACTCTGGAACTGAATTTTAATAATAGCTTTGATATTGACAGTGAAGAATAATTTCTGAAAAAAATCTGCATATACTTTGGCATATCTTTGGGAAATTATCTACATATGTGATTGAATTTAATAAACATTTCTGTTTTAATATCCATTCTCCCCCTCCCCACCACCACCAAAAAAACAACTATATTTGACATACCGTGGGTATAGGCAGAAAAAACACAATTTTTAAATATTTCATTCTGAAATAGATATCAAGAATAATGTTGTCCAAAATATTGTCTCTTTAGCCTGATCACTCATGTTTGAAATATTTTTTTTTTGTCATCAGGCAACCCTGCCCAGCCCACTTCTCTCCACTACATGAATCCTTACCAACTGAATGCCTATGGGATGGCACTGAAAGCGGTGGGAGAAATCGTTCAAGATTATGACAGTGATAAAATGTTCCCAGCTCTAGGTTTTGGTGCAAAACTGCCTCCAGATGGAAGGATATCTCATGAGTTTGCTTTGGTAAGAATATGTCACAAGGATTGGATATTTTGGGGAAAAAAATAACATGTTGAACTTTTAAATATCGGTTCACAGTTTCTTCTTTAGTCAGTCATGTAGCAGGCTTCTGTGACAGGAGACTCTGCTTAATTTGCTCACTGACTGACTTAGGGATGTGGTATTAATGGAAACAAAGACAGTTAAATAGATTAGCAATAAATCTTTACCTAAAGTGCATCTGGTTTATAAATAGGGGGTCTCTTATGGTTTTCTATCGTTGCATAACAAACCCCCCTAGACGTTTTAGGTGTAAACCAACACCATTCTGTTTTGTTCATGACTTGTAACATTTGGGGCCTCCCCTAGGATGGCTTGATTGGCTAGAGATGGCTGGAATTGTTCAGACGGCACCATACTCTTGATTCTGGCTGTCAGTTGGATTCCTCTGTTCTTCATGTCCTGTCTCCTGGGGCAAGCATGCTCCCTAAGATGGCTTCTTTGCTTGTGTCTGATGACTGAGCTGGGATGGCTGAGATAGCTGGATGGCTTGGACATCTTCCCCTCTTTCTACATACAACCTCTCCATGTGGCCATCATGGGATCCTCAGTATGGTGGTCTCCTGGTAGTCAGATTTCTTACATGATATCCGGTTTCCCCAGAGTGAATATTCTAAAAGGCGGGGGCAGAGACTACAGGGCTCTTTATACCACAGGATGGAAGTCCTGGAAAGGGCCTTGATCCACATTCTCTTGCTCAAACAAGTCAATAAGGCCAGCCCAGTTTCAAGGTAGGAGAAGTAACTTTTATCCCTCAGCGGAAGGCAGATCAAAGAATGTGTGACTGTATTTAATCTACCTAAAATGCATCTGATTTATAAATCTTCTAAATAGCTTCTCTTAAAATGGCATTTCAAATTTAAAGAAGTAATCATAGCTGGAATTAATTTTTTCAAATATGAAGCAGCACTTATGACTATAATTAATTAAGATTTAAGTATACTGGAGTAGATATGAGTGGAATAAAAACATTTCTCTAGTTAATGTTTAATTTACATAGATCTATTTTCATTTGTGTGACTGCAGGTAAGCAATGTGTTGCAATCTACTTTCAAAATAGACTCCACATAGATAATTCTGATAGACCCAGCCAGCCTTACTCTTACATGCACTTTCTGATAAATAATGGGGAAATCAATAAATGATGGTGAGCTATTATTTTGGAAAAAATTTAGATTTTTCCTAATAGAGGTACCTCCCTAGCCTTCACTACATGTTATAACAGGTAGATAATCTCTCCAGTCACTCGTATTTTTGTAGGTCTTTGTTGTTTGTATTCTTATTACAAAAGCAATGTATGCTCCTTATAGGATTTTTTTAAGTTCTATAAGCAAAGTAGACAAACATTAACACATATGCTATTTTTACTAAGTAATTACTGAGTATCAATCTAAGTCCTTTATACTTGTTTTCTTATTCAGTCTTCATAAAACTTCTGTGTGGTAGAGATATCATACCTCTCACATTATTCCACTGTAGCAAGTGCCATTCATATTGAATATGATAAGAAGACTGCATCCAAGAGTTACATCACTCGGCTCAGAGGCTTAACTAGGGTTTTAACAGACAGGACTTGAACCCAGATCATCCTATTTTAGAATCCATTCTCTTAACCACCATTAAGCCGCATTTTATAAAATACCTGTATTACTACTGCTCAGAAATGTCTTTTATTAACACCATTATTGTAACATAAAATACTGTTTTAAGAACAGTATTTTAATATTATTACTGCTGTATTTATTCTTGCTTTCCTTTTCTATCCCCCACACAATTTCAGAAAAAAGGTTGCTATAGGGTTTAATTTTTTTCTCCCATGAAATAGGCCACATGCCACACTCCCAATGTCATATAAAAATGAGTATCTGTTGGGATTTTGTTTCTGGAGAATTAACATTTCCCAGAATCTTATAAGACCATGAAAATAACTCATGTGATCCTAAGTCTTAAATGCCTCAGGAAAAAGGTCACGAGCTATTTTAAGCCTAAGAGAAGAAATAATTACGTTAGACTAAATGAGGTTTATTACTTTTCCTTCCATGAATGTCCTCTCACCCTTGTGTATGATTTTCTTCCTTTTTCTCTCTCTAATCCCCTCTTCTTCTTCTTCTTCTTTTTTTTTACCTCTACATTTATTCTCCGTATCCAAACCTATGCCAATAACTACTGCTAAGGAAGGCTTTTTTTTTCTTATTTGCACCTTGAACTGTTCTTTCAATTCAATTCAAATACTTATAGGCTAGAGTCATACCCCTTTAACTTTACAAAAAATAATCTCCCAAATGACTATGAAAACAATGAGATGCTGCTGCTGATGATAATACTTCAGTTTTAATATTACTTAATTGTTGTATCACTTTAATTTTTTTCAAAGCACTTTTGTTTACTTAGAAAAGCCAGATGAAGGTTAAATAAGTCTTCAGTGAGGTAGCATTTGTCTTGATTTGTAGGAAAATATTCTGAATTAAGCTCATCATAAATAACCACAATATATATTCTATAAGTGCCCAAAATATCAAGTACAAAAACTTCAGTCTCATGTCAATATGGCACTTCATGTTCATAAACTCTCAGGTTTCCCTGGTAAGAATTGTGATGTGTAGTCACAACCATTAATCTTTTTATCCACATTTTATCCACACCAAGTTCATGTAATCTTTCAAGTGGCAAGGGAGGCCTTTTAAAAAATTAAATACTCCCTGCTTGGTGAGCTTGGGGTTGTCTCAAAAGCTGAAATTGAGCTTTGCTGAATCAAAAAGATCTCAGGTAAACCCAGGCTTCCCATGTGAAATATGTGTAAGAATGGATGTAGTCGCATAAGAAAAGGGGGTGGGAAAAGAGAGGCAAGAAGTCCTAGCATCACCTGTGAAGCCCTTTGGGTCGTGAAAATGATGAGTCATTGCTCCCATCTCTTCAGGATTCTCTGTGACTCCTTCTGGAGTTGTAACTGAAAATACAATAGCGGGGGGCTTCAGAGGACGTATTTTTCACAGCCCTGTGGCCAGTGATCCTTACAAGAAGGATCCTTCTGCATCGATCAACAGAGAAATGCTTATACCTGTCCGAGCACTTTCTCCTACTATCTAAAAGAACTTGAATGCTTTTCACTTATTTGGGCATTTATAGGTATCTATGCAATTTAATATCTATGTGTATGCCTTTTCTTTAAGCTAGACGTAACAATTTAACAGCCAAGGGTCTTTACCACTGTTTGCATTAAATAGCAGCTCCACAGATGTTTGTTTATTGAATAAAAGGGCGAATTCTCTCAGCTTTTCCCCACAGTCAGCAGTCTCTGGGCAGCCACAAGGTAACATTTCAAAGAATAAAGCCCGGGCCCCTGAGAGCATTTGGTCAGTGTGGCGGCCCTGCTGGAGGATATTACAGGCCGTAGGTAACAATGGACCTTAGGCTGCTTGCCCAGCACTGAATCTAACGCCCCAATTACAACCCCTTAGTGAGCCAAATGGAGGGAAAGCCGGTGAGAGGTGGACACCCCTCCCCACTGAAGTCTGCACAGTAGGATTATTGCGCATTTTGAATTCTGTTCTGTATATTTCTATGTGTTCCACCAATTGACATTCATTATTTTATAAATGGGAAAGTTGTTAACCCCTTGAGTGCCGCGGAGCGCGGTCACGCTCCTCCTGTCTTTCGCCAAAGGTGCCGGGAGCGCTATCGCGATCCTCCTGCAGCGTCCAGTCTAAGTCTGCTTTTATTAGTGATGATGATATTGCTAAACATGTCAATTCTTGCTGTGAAGATGACGATTTTGTGGAAGATATTGAATATGTAACTTCATTTACTTGCGATTCATAATTTTTTTCCTCAACTGCTGTAAAATCAGCAAAAATGTCTTGGCAATTTTAGCATAGTTCCTAGATATTGGTTGGCACTCTGAAAAGGGAATATAAAATAGAGCATCCTTTGCCATCTTCATTAATGTAAGATGAAAATGAATCCTCTTATTTTTTAAAATGTCCTGTATTTTTGTGTGCCAGATCCTGATACAAGCTTATTTTAATTTGTTTCAACAAGCAAAAACTAATTTGCAACATAATTATTTTAAGAAATGAGTTTTTAAAAAGACTTAAAAATCATTTTATAACTCATTACAATGTTGTCATTAAGAAGAAAATCTTTCCACCAAGAAAATTAAATGGTGAGAAAAATGGTGACCTTGTAGTTTCAATTCCAGAGAAATGGAGGAATATATAGTTTTATAGAAATATAAACTCTCACTCAAATGTTAAAAAGACAAAAAGCTCAGAATTATCCTGGTTTGTAAACCTCAGAATTATTCTTCAAGGGAGATATATTATACTTTTTAATGCCCAAAATGAATAATGGGCTTTAATTTTAATTGCTTCATACTTTATCAAGGGGAAAGAACACTGTAAAATTTTATCTAAATGAAGGTTAAATAGGTCAGCTCAGATTAACATCAACTGCTTTGTGCTAAATATTGAACTTTTATATTTTAATTTAATCAACTGCTGTAACCAATTTTATAATATAAAGAGGTCGTTATGAGTTTTATGCTTTTAAAATTTACATGAGGTTTAGTTAATAAAAAGTTTGAAGAAAAACAAAAGGAAAACGTGTATACATTCTTATCTCACAAAATGGCAACATTGAAGTGGTTGATAACATCTGGCTTAGTTTCCTAAGATCCCCAGGCTTTTAATATGCTCAGGGTTTTATAATGTGATGGCATAGTGTGGTGAAGAGACTGGACTCTGGGGTTAGACTGCATGGGTTCAAATATTGGCTATTTCATTTGTGTTGTGTGGCTTTTGGGCACAGTATTTAAGTTCTCAGTGTCTTAGTCTATTTGTAAAGCAGAAAAAATGACACTAGTTTATCTACTTTCTTAGGGTGGTTATAAAAACTATATAATGTATGTAAACATTTTCATATAAAGCTCAGTATACAGAAGTCAACAAATTTTAGTTACACATTAG